ACTGGAGCCACAATTTGACCATGGTCGCTGTCCCAAACAAGCCTGCTCCCAGGGGTCGTTATTTCGCTTGCGACCTTGTCACTCAAATGTTGCCCGACAAGGACGTCAGCGGCCATGCGTCGTTGTCAGTGCGCCAGTCCTTATAAACGTCGCCGACAGCACGTGACATTGCACCGCCTCCTCGGCGTGCAAACGTGCTCGCTCCGCGTTTGTTCCCTCCTCTCGCGCGCAAGCGTTCTACACCCTAGACCAAGGCCGATCTCATAAGGGAAAATTTCAGTGTTACCATGATGTTTCAAATGATTTCGTGGTACTTTCGCTTCTCTCCACTCACGCTCCTCACTCTTCTTGTCTAATTTTTGAGCAACCATGTGGAACTCGGTTTTTATTTCAATTCTAGACAGACTAAACAAAGCGTTATTGGAATCAAATGTGGTAGTTTCGAATGATTTGCAATGCAATCACATTCAGAACACAATCAATGGGACGCAAAGAGTGAAAGGCATCAAAAATAACTCGAGTGTGAAAAAGGCAGCACAGCACACAATTTTCCTCGAACCAAACGAAATTTATGATCGACTATCGACGTAGCTTTCGTTGAAGCACCCCGCGCTCAATCGCATGAAAGTACCATTCATACTGACGGGTTCGAAAGCAGTTCTGCCAATTCCTCCGCCCTTGTGTTTAGGGAGAAGGCAACTTTGAAGATTTGGACCATAGAGTTATTACGGAAGCAAACACGGCAAAAATTAGCCTCAATGTTTACAGTAGTCTGCTCCAAGGCAGTGCGCAAAACTATCACTATCGTTCACCGATTTACCCACAATAAATATAGCTCCTTGGCGAAGCAAAATCTACCCTACACTTTGTATGTTTGCTACTACCTCTCATTGATTGATGCCCGTGTCACTTCAAGTGTGTCACCCTGCTCTAATTTTGCTGCACGCCCAGGTGTTAACGTGGATTACGGTGGCACCACGTCTGCGGACTGTGAATTCTGTCTTGTGACTGGATGCAAAACTTTCTACAACCTGCATCTGACGTTACATGCGACGCTTTGACCCTGTTGAAGCACAGTGGGCTTCCTGGCCGTAATTCATAAACAGAGTTCCTATATCAATAGATCTAATATCCCTGCTATATATCATTCGTTAAGTATATGTATCTGTTTGTGTATGTGTGTGTACTCTGTCGTCACTACACTGCGTCCCATAATTATAACTCCACCCAAGAATTTCCCAAAATCTCACAAATTTAGATGTTTTAGAAAAAGTCTCTAATGTGGCAGTGTGTCAAATACAAATACGAAATCCCTTATAAGCATCATCTTCCAACTTGAGATCCCAGGAATTTTTTCTAATAATTTTTGTTCAAAAGGCCACTTGGCCAACGTCCCAAAATTATAACTCCACCTCATGTTTTTCTATTATTTTTCACTTCCGTTTCGCCAAACTTTTTTAATGTGCTAACATCCTACTTCTCAAGGGGACAGTATGATAGAAAATGCTGTCTGACTTTTTAAAAGGTCAGGTCGTCGCAAAAACTACTAATTAGGCAATCGCACAAGATTTTGACCAAATTCACGAGGAGCTCGAGAATTTTTCAGGGATTTTACATGATATGGAGTTGAGAAGAGCTCCAAAGGATCTCCCCTTGCTTTTCGGTAGAAACAAAGGCCGTGTCACAGAAGAAACATCCTTTTTTATGAAGCCGTGCTCTGCCATCAAATCTTCTTCGGAACTTAATGGCTCAACGGAACAATGTTTTTTGCTTGCGAATAAATCCCAAGTTGATTCCCGAGTGGAAAACGTGGAAGGCATCATCTGTGGCAGGAAACCATGGCGAAAATTGAGCCCATTTTCACAGAAAGATGCAACGGAGCCGACTGGAGTAAGGTTCGCTTTTGCTCGATATGTTTTAGCATTTGTTTGTTTTTCTTTTCGTGCTTTTCTCATCCTTAGTAGCTTTTCTCTTCGCGAAGCACTACCAGGAGAAAGAAAATGCCGAAGAGAAAGACAGACAATCAGTAATGAATCGCAAGTAAGAGCGAACCTTACTACAGTCGGCTCGGATGCACCTTTCCGGAAAACTCAGCAAGAATTCCGCCATGGTTTCTTACCACAGATGATGCCTTCCACGTTTTCCACTCGAGAATCAACTTGGGACTTATTCGCAAGCAAAAAACATTGTTCCGTTGAGCCATTAAGTTCCGAAGAAGATTTGATGGCAGAGCACGGCTTCATAAAAAAGGATGTTTCTTCTGTGACACGGCCTTTGTTTCTACCGAAAAGCAAGGGAGATCCTTCTGGAAAGCTCTCAACTCCATATCATGTAAAATCCCTGAAAAAATTCTCGAGCTCCTCGTGAATTTGGTCAAAATCTTGTGCGATTGCCTAATTAGTAGTTTTTGCGACGACCTGACCTTTTAAAAAGTCAGACAGCATTTTCTATCATACTGTCCCCTTGAGAAGTAGGATGTTAGCACATAAAAAAGTTTGGCGAAACGGAAGTGAAAAATAATAGAAAAACATGAGGTGGAGTTATAATTTTGGGACGTTGGCCAAGTGGCCTTTTGAACAAAAATTATTAGAAAAAATTCCTGGGATCTCAAGTTGGAAGATGATGCTTATAAGGAATTTCGTATTTGTATTTGACACACTGCCACATTAGAGACTTTTTCTAAAACATCTAAATTTGTGAGATTTTGGGAAATTCTTGGGTGGAGTTATAATTATGGGACGCAGTGTATTCCAACGATGGGCGTTACAGCAGCTTGAAGCGTGGCTCAATATCATGGTGAACTGATGGGACGTGAAACACAATTTATGGTGCCAGGCAGCTGGTAAGGCTGACTATAAGGGCTGATAGGGCTGGTTAAGGATTATTAGAAGGGAAGGGCCACGGAATTGGTAGCGCACGGCTCAGCAGTAGAGAGTTGTTGCTTTTGAAGGGTCATATTTGAAAGGTGACAAAAAGTGAAATCAGCTGATAAGGGCTGATAAGAGCGATTAGCTTGAGAACGGAGAAGTCACCGAGGTTGTTATTTGGATGCGCGGTAAGAAATGCATTCCACTTCATCTGCGATTTCATCGTCACCATCAAATTCGTTAGACGCTAATCTCCCCGAGCTTTTTAATATGGTCGGTGTTTGTGCATAATAAGTGTTGGTGTTTCTATTTCAATGCCATAGGCATAAGAAGTTGCAACCGCTAAACCATCCCAACATTCGAAGGTGATAGTTGTTTATGCTACGTCCTGATAGCGTAAACAACTATCATGCAGCTCGAGCAATTGTATTGGTTATCCAAGGCTTAGATCACGTTGGTTCCCGAAAAATGATGGATGTTCATGGGTGTTGGCGAGCTGCGGGAATGGTAGTCTTATCACCAGCACCATAATAACCTTTCGTTAATAACATCAGTGAGATCCATCAAAAGCATACGTTTCGCTCACTGCCGCAAGAACCCGGCTATGCTCAGTTCTTCTGAAGCCTACTCCGCAGCAAGCGGAGCCATACTGGTTTGATATAATTACGCCAAGGTGGTATTCTGATATTCTTCTCCATCCGCAGCAGCAAAAAAGAGAATTTCTGAGAACAACTGGTCGAAATTCCCAGCTTGCTTTCCCTAAGATTCTTTCAGTGTGATTGAATAGAACATTAGGCAAAAACACGGACACGCATAACAACGGTGGAGTTTCGGGGTTAGAGTGCAGGTGCGTTGATTAGCCGTTTGCGACAAGTTATTAGCAGGCGTCGTAATAGCCTAATTCACAGGGATGTTCAATATCAGCTATTTTATATAGTTTTGAAAAGTGGCATTCAACTCGCCGACATAGTAATTGGAATTTTGCATGGTTAGGCTGAAGATTAATTACTCATCGAGTCTTTTTCAGCTCTTATAGTCTTCAGACACAGAAATGGGTTTGAACTGTCTCAATAATTCCGCTGTGCACATTAATTTCTAGGGTTTTTCCTTTAATTGCTTTCTAGTCTAACCATGAGATCGCGTTTCACACTTCCAAATCCTTCAGAAAAAAATGATATGGAAGATTGAAGCAGTGGTTATATCCATCACGTCGTTGAAGTGGAAAATTCGATAGAAAAACTGCTTTAGGGACAATTTTATCAAATGCTGAGCGACAGTTGGACGTGCCAAAAAGAGGTGTGGTTCCACTAGCCCGCAGCTCGCAACTTCGCAATGTCGTCAAAGGGTTAAGTGCTAAACTGTTTTGTGTGCACGCTGCCACCGTGCCTTGTTCACCAAAGTCATTTGTAGTGGCCACGGAACCTTAAAGGCAGTGATTACGATAAAGAGGGAGCGCATCGGGAAGCATATGCACCACACGAATCAGTTACTTGGCTGCCAGGGAAGCGAGGTGTGGCGCTTTCACGACGAAAGGTGCGCTGGTTGCTGAGCAGGACTTCGAAAGCACTCCGCCCCCAAAAGCGATCCGCCCACTAGTTTAGTTGGTGATTTGGACGAGCTGCGTTGCCAGCAGCGGCACAACTGAGCAACTCGACTGGAGCATGGATTGGCATGCTGTCACCAAACGCGTTGCGATGAACTCGTTCATACGTCCGCTTTCTGAGCTGTTACCTGTTCATGAGTGAAAACCAACGGCCAAAAAGGGGTCCCGTTTTGCGTTTTCTTGACGGATTTCTCCGCTTTTTCGCCACTGGCGTACCATTGAGCACCACCAGTCTTCTAAAAACCCTTTTTAGATCTATCGTAATCACTGCTTTGAAAAACATGGAACTTGTCAGAGCGTTTAGTGAAAACTTTATTGTCCTTGAGCAAAAATACTTAATTGAGATGCAAAACAACAACTTGCATAGGCATTCATTTGAATGAAAGTTGGCAGAATCGGAACGGACGGATAATGACAAAACCACGTTTAGCATCAGAAAGACGTTCAGTGGGAAACTTTGAAAGTTACCGGTGTAGGGCACAAAACACAAGTCGAAAGACAACGAGCCAGCATGATGTCGTTAAGCAACGTCACCGAGGTTGTATGCTGGGACTGGGGTACTTTTCAAGTTCACGATCAGGGTGAAGTTTAGGAGTTTTTGTGTACTTCAGTCGCGCTCGCATAGGATAAGGAGCAGAAGCTTCATGATAGTCTGGAGGCCTTCCTAGGTCTTTCAAATATTCCATATATGGTACTGAAAACTCAAATGGTGGGAACTTGTACAAATCAGGACTGGCGAGGTACTTCACATCAGGCGAAGGAGATAAAGTCTCTTTCTTGCTGATTGAAGAAGGTGCGTCGTTGATCTGCTCGGGTTCGCTGCTTGTGCACGAACAGTGGAACATTGTCAGCAAGACTGGAAGGATGACTAAACCGTGGAGTACTCCTGAAAATAAACAGATATTGGTGAAAAGGTTATTGATCAAAAAGGATTACATGAATGAGCAGCGAGTGATCGACTAGAGATAGGGTAATACTCGTTCTTCGGCTATACTTACCCAATAGAATAACAAGGAATATTGTCTTCAGGAAGCTCCTGAAGACGTACGATTCTGCAGAAGCGAGGAATGACACGCCGAGGATCGTCGATGTGGCGCTTTGCAGAATCGGCGCTCCCACCGCGTACAGCGCGTTACGCATTCGCTCAGATGACGGTAGATTGCGTCCCTGAATATTCAAATTCGTGTTGCTAAGTCGGTCGCGTGTCAATGAACCACTACTTAAAAAGTCAGAAAGACGAGTTGTCAAAACGTGTCTTCCCCGCTACTTTCTAGTGGATCATATGGGAGGGATGCGTGGGGAGAAAACTCCCTACGAAGACATGTTCGAAGAACTAGTTACGGTCACAATTACAATAATTAAAAGAACTGATGAATCAAAACTGTAGCCTGAAAAATATCGCGGCAGCTAGATAATGAAAATAAGGGCGCTTGGCTGTAGAGGTGAAGAACAGCGTGGTACTCGATACAATATTTATT